AATTATTTGAAAGGGTTATTAGGATGCTGCTTCGTTTTCCCGCTCCCAATCTGTGTGAAAGCAGACATTCCTCGCTGACTTCAAACAGGACAACCTTGCAAAGGATTGCAAACAGGAGTGGAAAGAGAACCCAGATACCGAGGGACGCCCAAAAGGTAGACCACGGCCCCTCTTCTCACGGAACTGTTTCCTTTGGAAAATATGTGATTTTCAGAAAACATGTTGTTATTTATGGTAAAATGTAGGTATCCGCTAGTTGTTTTTAACAGAATGAATGAATGGGTTTTAAATTTCTGTATTCATTCCCAGCAGAATGAAAGTGGATAGAAGTAACCCACACACACAGAGCGTCCTGGGATCCTCGAGGCCTTGAAGATTGTCGCGTGGAATCGCCCCAGTCACGACACCGACGGAAGGACCCTCAGAGCCTGGCGGGGGCTCCCCTGAGCCTGGCCGCCACCTCGTTGCACTGTACAGCCTGCTTCTCATCTTGAACCAATGCACACAGACGCTTCTCCACGTGTGCTTCACTCGCTAGTGTTGTCGGCCCATCTCTACGTTGGGACCAAAGGCACCGGAGGACCCTGCACTCACACCAGAAGCTTGTATTCTGCTGAGTCAGCCCCGGGCCTTCCCCTCCCCCAACCCCCACAACACCCCCAGAAGTTGTCCCATCGTGAGTTTTAGTTTGAGAAGTAGAATAGGATATTTTAAAATCAATACCATACATTTAAATATATTTAGTTTAAATCAGAATTACCAGAACCTTACAAAAGTGTTCATGGATTTAAAAAATATATATTAAACATTTTAGTAAAAACCTCAAGCAATTTTGCATGGCTCCCCAAAGAGTAGTCTAGAACACCCAAAGAAACAGTGTTTATTCTTACTTTGTTTAAGGTGCTGAGCGAAGGCCTAGAGACATGGAAACAGTCCTTCGTGTTCGCGGGAAGGGGTCTGAGAGGTGAGCTCAGATTGGCTTCTCTCCATCCTTCGTGCATTCAGTGCCTGGTTGCTGAGTGCCCGGCGCCTGCCAAGCGGGCGGACGCAGCATTAAAAACAAGGTGGACCCCTGTTCTTGGCGGGCAGGCGGCACAGCAGTGACCCCCCAGCGTCAGACCCCGTGACAGCGGTCGGGGGCGGGGAAGTGATGGGAGAGAACCTTCCCAGGCCGGGAAGGCAGAGGTGGTGGAGAGCATCGAGGTGTCAGTGGAGAGGTGGAGAGGTGCACCAGGTTCGTTAGGTCAGTTTGCCTTGCGGGGGGTGAGGGGGTGGGGGGGTAGGTCTGCAGTGTGACTAACATAGAAAAGGAATTGGGGGCGCGGGTTGAGCAGGTTGGAGTGACCATGTTAGAAGGAGGTTTGGTCCACGTTCCTCTTGGCGAGAATAGAACCTAAATGGATGAAACTCTGGAGCAAGCCCTGTCTGCCGCACAGAGGGCTCGCTCCGGTTTGTGCAGGAGGCATTCTCTTTTTCTTTTTAAAAACTCTTTATTGTTTGGAGTATTACAGACGCCCCTCTTCTTTTCCCCATTGCCCCGCCAGTTCCCGCACCGCCCAGGCCTTCGCCACCCTATTGTCTGTGTCCACAGGTAATGCACCTATGCATCTAAGATCTTTGTTTAATCTCTTCCTGCCCCCCAACGTCCTTCCCTCGGAGAAAGAGGCATTCCTTAGATTATAGTAAATGGCTCCCCTTGCACAAAGTCCCCTTCTTGTTTCACTTCTAAGTACACATCTGCGCATTCATTGCATTTCCTGGGAAGGTTTTTCCTAATCGGTATGCTGTGCTGTGCTGGTTATGGGATGGCAACATGAGCGTATTTTTTAATACACCCAGAAAACAGTTCCTGAGAGCACCCCGTGTCCTGCAGCGGGAGCCTCGGCCTGGGGGACCCACCCCTGTCCTGTGGGTCGGGCTTCGTGGCCACATCGGCGTGGCCTGCTATGTCCAGCACCCTGCACGCACCAGCTCTGTAGCGACGGCAGCAGTGCGGTGAGGGTGTGGCACCGTGTGCCCACAAACCTCAAGAGACGAGGGCGGCACGGGCGGGTTGAGGGTAAAAATAAAGGGCTGGAAGGACAGGGCAGAATGTACTCCTAGGTATACCAGGGAGCCCACGATGATGTGACGAGTATGTTCCTAAGATTTGGGAGCGTTTAAGAATTTCTCCACTTCTCACACCCCCCGGCTTGCTTAGGCGGGGCGGGGAAGAGAACTCTTTTATGCAGGCCTTTGGCATGCACGCCGGGTGGCTGTTGCATGCAGTGACATCATACTGCCTAGGGCTGCCCGCACGGAGCCTGGTCATGTTTAATGTGCAGCTGATGGCAGCAGATAGGGTGGCGAGAACAAAGCCTCTGAGCCCGTGGGGTTAGTTAGCCACCTAATAGCTTTGGGCCCGCCTGAACTTGGAAAGTGACTTATTGCTTCCCAGGCTCTGTTTTCTCATCTGTAAAATGGGGTAATAACATTTCCCTGCTAGGGTCATCATCAGAATTTAACTGTTTTGAACATGTAAAGTGCCCCAGACACAGAACACTTGCCCCTCCCAATCAGAAAACCATTTGTAAGTGAAAAAAAATAAAATGAATGGAGCCATTCAGAAGCTGCTCATGAGAATAACCAAGACGGTGATTTGGTTCCCGGGAAACCCCCGGTGGGCTCGGGCTGCCTGGCGCTGTGTCCGATCACCAAGGCAGGTTGAATCACATAAGGCGTTTACTGAGAAGGCCAGCCCACCAGGAAGACAGGGCGCTTACAGGCATCCACAACCTGTCTTGACAGGAAAGTGCAACCTGCTCACACAGTGTGTCCCTCCCCGAGGATATTGAAGAAACCAGCTTATCTATAAAAACAGTGGGGGTCTGCCCCGACCGGTTTAGCTCAGTGGATAGAGCATCAGCCTGTGGACTCAAGGGTCCCAGGTTCGATTCCAGCCAAGGGCATGTACCTTGGTTGCGGGCACATCCCTAGTAGGGAGTGTGCAGGAGGCAGCTGATCGATGTTTCTAACTCTCTACCCCTCTCCCTTCCTCTCTGTAAAAAAAAACCAATAAAATATATTTTAAAAACAAACAAACAAACAAAAAACCACGCGGGTCACAGGATCAACAAAATTCCACAAATCTTACCGTGTGCAGCCCAGAAAAAGTAGACATACGATTGCATGCATCTTTGACTCAGTCAGTTTCCACGTTTCCATTACAAGCAACTCGTTAACCCTGGAGCCCAGTTGCTTTAAAAAAGGCACCCCCTAGTGACCTTTGGACTGTCCAATCCCTGTTCCTCATTGAGCGGTTTCTAGCGTCTGCTCCTAGCCTGCTCACTGGTCCCCACAGAGCCCTCTGCAGTAGGTGTTGTCATCACCCCACTTTAGAGCTGGGACTACTGAGGCTGTGGGACGTGTGTGGACCGAGGCGGTCGTTTTGCTATGATGCTCTATGCCCCCTGTTGGTGTGGATTCGCAGGAGCCCCTCAGGGATGTGCGGAATGAACTAAAACATTGAAGAACGAGCCACGTCCGGTTGTATCAACATCTATTTTTAACTCTTTCCTACTAGCTTGGCATATGAGCATTTTCCCTCTGAGAAAATAAACTTTTCTTGGATAGAAGGACAACATTGTTTTAAAATCCTGTGAAGCTTCTCAGTTTGTGTTATCGGAAGTGGATCTATTGAATTCCTTAAGGGGCGAGCGCTGTTAACACTGGGCTCCGTCACATTTCCGCTTAACCACCAAAGAAACGTCCTAATATCTACTTCCTTGCGCCGCTTCAGACCCTGTTATAAAGCCAGGCCGACTATGAGTCACTCCCCTGTGAAGTCCACGCGCTGTGTGCGGACGGTAATGAGAAACAGGCCCGGCTCATTCTGGGCGTCCCGTCTCAGCTCTCATTATGCGCTGCCGAGGGAAAAATTGCATTATTTCAGGTCATTTAAAAGGAGTAAAGCCATTTCCCCCTCCCCCCCCCCCCCCCCGGATAATAGGTCGTAATTGAACCATTGAAACTATTTTGGGAAAACAGCTTCCATTCCAATGGTCTGGTGTGCCTGGGAGCGTGCTTGGTGTTAGAGAGGAAAAATCTGTTTTTCGCTCACGTGAGCTCCGGTCACTTAGTCTCAATCCTCTCCCTCCCTTCAGAGTAATCCTTGTGCCCATTTTCTCTCCACGAAGCATAACAAGTGTGGCTCCTTCCATGTTGCCCTCAGCGTCCGGGCATTTCACGAGCAGCTCTCTCTAGCCCCAGCTCATACGTTTATGTTAACGAGAAAACCACACTGTCAGCCCGCCCCTTCCAACGCCCGGCCTTCAGCGGCTCCTTCAAGACGCGAGGGGATCCCGTGGCGGCCAGGCTGCAGGCGCGGGGCTGGGCCGCGGTCCTGCAGGGAGAAGGGAGCAGCCTCACCACAATCCCCACGGGCTGGGAGCTCGGGGCTCGCGGGCAGCACCAACCGCCAAAGAACTCTTTTGTGTGTCGCCGAAACCCAGGAACGTAGTTTCGATTTTGAAAGAACGCTCCAAAGCCTGGCCTCTGGGGAGACTGCGTGCTGACCGGCGAGGGATGTCATTCGTGTTAAGCACAGAGTTACATCCAAACCATCTTCTATCCAATCGCTTCCAGACTGAAATTTTTGTAATTTATTTTGAGTGGGAATGTTCTAGAGCAGCGGTTCTCAACCTGTGGGTCGTGACCCCTTTGGTGGTCGAACGACCCTTTCACAGGGGTCGCCTAAGACCATCCTGCATATAAGATATTTACATGACGATTCATCACAGTAGCAACATGACAGTTATGAAGCAGCCACGAAAATAATTTTATGGTTGGGGGTCCCCACAACATGAGGAACTGTATTAAAGGGCCAGAAGGTTGAGAACCGCAGTCCTAGAGGGAGTAAGTGACACACCGAGCAGGGCCCAGGGCAGGGAGGCCCCCCGAGGCACTGGACTGTGGGACCCCCCCCCCACCTTTACACGAGCAACACGCTTCCGCGCCCCCAGTGCCCTGCCCCCGTGTGCCGGGCCCGTCCAGCCGACACTGGTGAGGAGAGACGCACCATCACGGGAGGTGAGGACAGTGGGAGGTGGGGGTAACGAGGAGAGAAAGTGGAGAATAGAGGGTGGTTAAGAGCTTACACTGGAGTCCAGCTGGTGTGGCTCAGTGGTTGAGCTTAGGCCTAGGAACCAGGAGGTCACGGTTCGATTCCTGGTCCGGACACATGTCCGGGTTGCGGGCTCCATCCCCAGTGAGGGGAGTACAGGAGGCAGCTGGTCCATGATTCTCCCTCATCATTGATGTTTCTCTCTCCTTCCTTCCTCTCTGAAATCAATAAATATTTTTTTTTTTTTAAAAAAAAAACTTACATTGGTGAGTGACAAGCAGTAAGACGGGCAGTAAATGGTTAGGGCCAAGGAGGGCAGCCCAGGGCGGGCGGCTGAGCACTGGAGAAGCGGAGACGCAGGAAAACAAAGTGAAGGGAGCACATCAGAGGGTCGAGAGCCCGGAGAAAAGGGTGGCTGAGCACCAACTCCAGAGGCGACACCCTAAAGCCGACATGTACATAGAGAGGGACTGAAACGGAGCAGGGCGATGGCATCTACCGGACCCAGCGGGGCCGGGGTTAGGCATTCCGTGTCCGGGCCTGGTGGGAAGGCCTCAGCGTTGCTGGGTTCCCTGGGCCCTGGAGGGAAAGAAAGGTGGACGGACAGCCGGACAGCCCAGCAGGAAGGACACCGAGTCAGGGGCCCTTGGGTGCAAGTAAACTGGGCTGTGCATCGGCCCCGAGTGGGAACGGAGCCAGTACGCCTTAAAGCAGAATTCCCGCACCCTTTTCCAAATTTAAACACAGCCTCCACCATTACTTACTTGATTTGTTTAAACTGTAAGACCTTCTGTTTTAAAACAGCTTATTTTAAAAGGAAATTAGCAACCTAAACAGTAATATCTGTTTCATGTGCTGGTTATGTGTGTTTTTTCTCATAGGCATTAAAATCAATAAAATACTTCCCCTGGGCCCGCCTAAGGCAGGACCTCCTGCTGCTGCTGCCCCACCACGCCTGAGGGCGGGGGAGCCAGGAGGGTCCTGCCTGGCCCCAGAGAGGCAGCTCCTCAGAGACTTCGGGGGCAGGAGGCCCAGGAGGGCAGCAGCGACGGGCTGGGAGGACGGGCGGGAGGAGGTGGGCCTCGAGGTGGGGCAGGAGGCCGCGCGTCTCCTCTCCTGCCTCATCTGTGGGTTGAAGCCACTCACAGAGGCAGCCTGGTCGGTCCGGGAGGTGCGGGCTGACCCCCTCCTGGGTGGGCTGAACTTGCAGAATTTGTTTCCTTTTTAAAAAAATTGGTTTCAGAGAGAAAGGGAGAGGGAGAGAGAGAAACATCAGTGATGAGAGAGAATCACTGACCGGCTGCCTCCTGCACGCCCCCGACTGGTCATGTGCCCTTGACGGGAATCGAACCTGGGACCCTTCTGTCTGCATCCGACGCTCTATCCACTGAGCCGAACCGGCTGGGGCTGTGCTCATGTCTTTTGCGTCTTAAGGCGTAAAAGCACAGGCAGCGAACTCAACGTGGAGTCAGCAGCACAGCTCAGGGCAGGCGAGCCTCACCGAGCGTCCTGCTCATGTGCTTCGGCGACGAGAGGTGCGTGGGGCTGCGTTTCACAGAACGAGGTCAGTGGAGAGTGGTGCGGGGGTTCCCCCACTCTCACTGCTGCCTTGGGGACCCTGGGGCTCGCGGGCACACACCTGCACGCACACACATGCACACACATGCATGCACACACACACGCACACACACGCACACATACACACACCATGCACACACACACACATGCCCTTCCGGCTGATGCAGGTGCCTGCACTGTCTGTCGTGTGATGGGAAATCATGTAGAGGCATGGGAACCAAGGCCCACTTGATTGACTGTCACCTACAGTTCTCACAGAGCTCCACAACACCCCCGGCAGCACAGCCTCAGCGCCCAGAGCACCAGCGTCCTGTCCTCAGAGCTGGGCAGCCGGGTCAGTGGCCCCTGCCTCTCCGAGGTCCAGCCGCCGGGGCTCCGGGCTTCTGGGTCCAGGCTCCTGGTTGCAATGCCGTCGCCTCTCCTGGGTGCTAGGCCTGCGTGGTGCTGCGCCGAGGCCTCCTGCTCCCTCCTTGCCCAGCTGCGCCCTGTTCGCCCGCGGGGCCTGGCTGTAGCCATTCCTGTCGGAAGAACAGCGGCCTCTGTTCCCGGGCGCCCCCGGCCGCCGTTGGAAGGACTCGGGCTTGGCGGTCGGCTCGTTCTCCCTGCAGGTGCTGTCAGCACAGAGGGCAGGGATGGGGAGGGAACGTACACGTGGCCCCGCGTTCAGGGGTGCCTACTGGAAGCCGGTGAAGAACCCCGTCTTTAGGAAGTCACAGGGCTCACGCCCGCTCGCTGTGGCCTAAGATGGGAGACTCAGGGAGAAGCCACACCCTCACAGCTGGACTCTCCCCTGAAGGCTGATGGGCCTGGGGCTCCGGCGCTGGGGTCGCTGTGCACAGAGCACTGGGACTGTGACAGGGTGGACAGGTCACATCCCCACGTCACCCCGAGGTGCAGGTGCCGCAGGCCCCGTGCTTCAAACGAACAAGGGGAACCAAGTGGCTCTGTGTGCGTTGGAGCTGGGCCAGGGCGCACGCGGAGACGGGGAGGGTGGAGCCGCTGGTGGCCGTGCCTGCGGCTTTGGCGGGAACCGGGGAGGACAGGCACCGTGTATCCCGCGTCCTGAGCACGAGATGTGGCACCGGGGCCGTCCCTGGCCTCAGCGCTCCGGGGCTCCTGGGCCGAGAAGGAGGACTTTCAGACTCGTGGCGGCATCTTCCGAGGGGCCCAGGGTCTCCCCGTAGGGAGTGCAGTCACTGCGCCGCCAGCTGCAGGGTGGGTGTCGGCCTGGGGGCGGCCCTCGGGGAGACGGCACAGAATAAATAATGTCCGATTGTTGAATGAACGCGTATCAGGCGGCCAAGAAGGAAAGGAAGCACAGAGCCCTGCCTGGCTCTCTCTCCTTCAGTCCCGGCTGAGCTCTGGGCTTGAAGGATCGAGTGCAGCGGTGGCGAACCTATGACCCGCACGGGCCTCGATGTGAGTGACGGGCACTGTCCCCGGTTCAATGCCGTTGGCAGTGAACGACTTCTCCAACAGAAAACTCCCGGATGGACCCTCCCCGCCCGCCCGTGGGTTTATGCTGATCCTCTCGCAGGTCAGAGCTGCCGGCCCCAGAGGATCGGAGCGCCCTGAGATGACTTCTGCACCGGCGTAGCCCCCGTGTCTGTGGGAAGCGCGACTCCACAGACCCGCCCCGTCCACGCTGCCTTACGTGTGTGACCACGTCATTGACCTGCTTGGACACATCATCACTGTCCCGCACAGTCAGTCACACAGCAGAAGACAAAGCAGAGCTGTCTAAGCAACCACAGAGGCTTCCGTCCTCCCCAACAGGGTAGGTTTGATGACCTTCCTTTCTTTCTTTTTTAATATATTTTTTATTGATTTCAGAGAGGAAGAGAGAGGGCAAAAGAGATAGAAACATCAATGATGAGAGAGAATCATGGATCGGTTGCCTCTTGCACGCCCCACACTGGGGATGGAGCCTGCAACCCAGGCATGTGCCCTTGATTGGAATCGAACCTGGGACCCTTCAGTCCGAAGGCCGATGCTCTATCCACTGAGCAACACCAGCTTAAGGCAGTTTGATTATTTTTCAAAATGCATTGCTTATTGCAGGCGTTTTGAACACCGATGACCCCTTTAACACACCCTGGCCACTTGCGTGTGCCAGGCACTGTATTAGGCTCTGCGGTTACGGCTGTGCACAAAATAGCCACAGTCCCTGCACGCCAGCTCTGAGCTCACAGGCAGGGGTGGGAGCAGGCGGAACCGATTACAGTAAGTGTGACCTATAAATGCAAGGTGCAGCTGGCGGGACTCAGGGCGGATGCCTGACCCAGGGGCAGAGGTTGGTGAGAAGTTCCCAGGGGAGAGATGTGTGTGAGCCAGAGGCTCCGGGACGAGGAGTGAACCTTGCATCAGGGTCAAGAGTTGAGAATAAGGGCGACCTGGACCTCAGGGGCCGCACACCCAGTCGACTCAAGGTGGGAGCATGGAGACCAGCCTGCAGGGCTCATTGGGGAGGGAGCTATGGGTGCGGCGACGGGGTGCACAAGCCCTCTCAAGGGGGTTGACTGTTAGGCGGAGAGGAGAGATAGCAGAGAGTGGAACCAGTGGAAAGGAGGCTGGAGGGGAGAAGAGGGCGAGACACAGTGGGAGCTCAGATCTTCCCCAGGGAGAAAGTCCCTCCAATCACAGGAGGAGGAGGTGGCCCCGGGGGGACAGGGTGGTACTGGGAGAGAGTGTGATGCGAGCTTTCAAGATGCAAAGGTGACGATGCCAGGGTCCCGGACGGTCCTCTCTCAGTGGAAGGAGGAGAAACATACGCCGATGATCCTGTTGTGAGGAACATGCAAGTGATTCAGAGACAGCACGTGAGATTATAATTTAGAACGTGGGAAACTAAGCCAGGGCATCGGCCACTTAGGAGGCAAAGGCTGCTCAGGAATGGGGGTTCCACACGAGAGGGGAAATCAGAGTGTGTGTGAAGCATGTGAGGAACTCGGTGGTGTGGGCCCATGCACAGCAACAGAACTGTGAGCAAAGGGAACACGCCAGTAGCATGAAGGTGGGGCTAGGGAATGGTGAGTGGAGAAGGCTGGGGCGAAATCTGAGCTGCGTGGAGCAAGAGTGCTGCACCTCCGTGTAAGGGGAGGAAAGCACGCGTGGCAGACCTCAGTCTGCGGCGGGGCCTGCTTTCCGCGGGCGGCGGGAAGTCACAGATTCTTTTGTACGTTTGACCGTAGAGCCCTGGGGAGTCACATCAGCCAGGTATGACAGCATAGGAAAATAAAGACATGCAAACACCGGCTGCTGAAAGAGGCATGTGAGGAATGGGTAAATATTGATGAATGGATGAGGTCATCGATGGATGGGTGACAAGGCATGCGTGGCATTCCGGCGCTGGGACTGGACCTGCTGCAGCCGTGTGAGGGGTGGACTCCCCCTCCACCCGCACCGTCGGGCCACACGCCACCAGTCGGCGGCCGGCCGCACCCCCAGACTGACTTAGTCACCTACCCGTAGGGCCAGAACACCAGCCCCGAGAAGCATCAGAGCGAAAGGATTTTATGGTTAAAACGTCCAGGGTCTGGGCTGCTTTGGGGTTAAGTGCAGGATGAGAGTAAATCGAGACCCAAGGTGTGAGACTTCGTTTGGCAACCGGCTCAAAGGAAGAGTGTGAAATGCAATTTCAGTGCTTGAGAGACTAATCTGTTTGCGAAATTTTACTAAGTCCGTTATGTAAGGCAGGGTATTTACTCTCAAAATTTTAAATATTTCTCAATTGTGGAGGCTTTGAGAAAAAAAGTAAGAAAATATTGCAACTATTTCAATTTAATTTTTAAAATTTCCCCTCAGCTTTTATAGAAAAAAAAAAGACCACTCTATTTTCAATGACACCGTGGTGCTTTGATCCGTTCTCTATGACATTCTAACATCTATGAATTACCCCAAGGGTTTGTGCTGGGGCCCCCTGATTTCCCTGCGTCTCCAAGACTTCAGCACACGAGTGTGCTGTGGGAGGACCTTGTCATTAACGCGGAGGCTTGAGCCTCTGAGCCACATCGTGGCCTAACTTCGCTCCTTCGGAACTGCACTTGTAAAGGGAAGTGAACCGTCACTCCAAAGCCTGTGCAATTATAACACGTAAGACGCTGTAGGGCATTACGTTAATGCTTTAAAAGCATCAGTCATGAACATCACAGTGACAACACAGACTGCTCTAGACGCTGCCCTAAGTGTACAAGGTTCCAACGGTGGCGCGCTTTAGTGAATAAAGAGAATTTTAGACTCAGGTGGGCAAACTCAGCCGGCCGGAATGGAATTCGCGACTTTGCTGTGCTGTTTGCATTAGCGAATAGGTAAAACATGCACATTAAGCACAGTCATGTGTACTGGGCAGGAGCGTGCGAACACACACAGGTACGTTTCTTGGAGAAATAGGCAGGCATGACTAACAGACACCCACATTGAAGCCTGGTGTGCGCGTTTCCACGTGAGGTTTTACCTTTTGGCCGTAGCTTCGGGGATTTTATTTAACCTCAGTGGGCTGTGGATTTTAAGACACATTTTATAGCTAAGATGTTTTCACTTGTTGTCATTAAGCCTGTTAGTATGTAGAGAAAAAAGAGAACTCAGCACCGAGCTGCTTAACTAAACAGCCTTGGAGATGCAGAGGTTTTCAGAATTAAGCTCTGAGGGCGCGCATTTTAAACGCTAATGTCATTGACATAAAAAGAGATTTTTTAAAAATGAAAGAAAAGGCCTTTTCTCTCTTGCTGACATAACTTGGAAGATTTTAGAACCGCATCAGTTCGCTCTTTTGGAACAATAGCGCCATCTAGTGGACATATCACTAAGAAACAAAGCGTTGATTCCAAAGCTTAACTTTTTTCCTTTTATTGGAACCAGCATTAAAGGAAAATCACAAGTGTGTTCCCATGTCGACCTAGAAATGGAAAGAAATGCTTCCCTTGGCCAATCACAAGGGGTCTAAGTTCTGATAGACATATTTGATTACAACCTATGAGCAAGCAAAGCAATGGCCCCGGCCGGGTGGCTCAGTGGGTTGGATTCCCAGTCAGGGCACATGCCTAGCTTTGGTGTTTGATCTCTGATTGGGGTGCATTCAGGAGGCAACTGATCAAATATTTCTTTCACATCAGTGTTTCTTTTTCTCCCTTCTTCCTCTCTCTCTAAAATCAATGAAACACATTTCCCCTGTGAGGATGAAAAAGAGAGAGAGGAGAGGGCGGGTTTTTTCAGGCATGACAAGGAGAGAGGTGCTGGCGCGGTGGGTTTTTTAATTGATTGGGATTTTGTACAAAGAAGACTTGTCCCCAGGTGCTTTGTGGCTGCGGCAGCTCCCAGCCTGGGGCCGGCCAGCTAATTTGCATCTTCCTCCTTCACTTCCCTCCATGTGCTGAGGACCAAGCCTGTCACTGAGGGGGCAGAAGTGAATCCGGTAGCACAGGTCCTACCCCGAGGCTCCGGGCAGGGGTGGAGAGGGCAGGGGTCAGTGTTCCCTGCAGGGCACTGCCGTCGCCCCTCAGGACACAGCCTGCGAGGACTCCGCTCAGCCAGGTCTACAGAGCCGGGCGGCTGCTCTCCGGGGTAGACGTGTACCCAGCCCTGTGCTGGATTAGGCAGCCTCGGGTTTGCAAACTGTAGTGGCACGAGCAGCGTTGGGGGCTTGTTAGAGCACCGCTCGCAGCTCGCAGCTCCCAGGGGCCTGCAGTGAGTTTAGGGGATGTGTTTCTCCGATGTTTCGAGGTGATGCTGCTACTGGTCCGGGCGTCCTGCTTTGCTTTAGAGCAGTAAGAAAAGGGAAAGGCAGGCAGGGCCACGGGGTCGAGGGTCGGGGTGGGGTGTGTGCTGTGCTGTTGTCCTGTGCAGCCAGGTGCCAGCAGGGGCTGTGGCACAGGCTGGGGCCTCGCAGTCCAGTCCCTACCCCACTGCTGAGCCCTGAGGCCACAGCAGCCCCGGGAGGCCGTCTGTCTGTCTAGTGTCCTCCAGAGGGACCCTGGGTAAGACACATGCCCTGTGGGTGTGTCTTTTGTCATTGCTCTGTCCACAGGAACCAGGTTGTGAAAGTTGCACACCATGGGGCATGCCAGAGGCTGGAGGGGACGCGCAGAGCAGGCGTGGGAGAGGGGGCTGCTCAGAGCACCCGTGGGGGGAGACGCGCTCTACCCGGGCCACTGGCCCTGTGCTGACACAGCCCTGCCCCTGCACAGGCAGGTTCCTGCTCATGTTCCTCCCACCGGGGCCTGTCCCTGCCCCGTCCGGCCCTGGGTCCATCTTGTCACTGCGACGGCTCCTCCGCTACCTGCCAGGTGACGCTGTCCACCGCTGGAATAGGTGCCGGCAAAAGGAGAGGTAAGGGACTCCGATGGAAGAAAACCGGCAAGATACCAGTTGAGAGGAAGATAGTGGGTGATTAGGGAACAGCACGCAGGACCCAGAGCGGGTGAGGACTCGGGGTGCGGGGGGTGAGTGTGAGCAGTTAAAGGGAGTGACCAGCACGTCCAGTGAACACACAGCAGCAGCATCGGAGCTGAGTGGCTGGAGGCAGCGCTGCCCGAGAGGACGAGAAGCTGAGCTGCAGGAGGACGGGAGAGGCCGGTGTCCGGTCGGGAAAGGACAGTCCCAGGAGGAGATTTTGCTCAGCAATGAAGAAAGGGAATGTGTTCAGGAGAAGAGTCTCATTTTTTAAGTTTTTGAGCGAAATGCGTGACCTGTGGGTTATCTCACAGGAACCACGCTTACTCGCCACATCATGGCGTTCCACTGCCCCAGACTGACCCCCCTCCCTCCCCTTCCCCTCGTGTCCGTTCACCAGGGCTCCATGTTGGGGAATAGGATTCTTGTGTTGAAGTGGATTTGGCCAAACAAGAAAATATTGAAATTTCAGAAGTAAAGGCAGAAGGCTCTACATGGGTGGGAACATCCGACCCTCAGGCTGTGTAAGGTCTGGGAAATCATTGGGTCTGGCCCTGCCAGGGCATTAGGGGTGAGTGAATTAAATGCTTGACCAAATACAGATGGCTAGGTTCTAAGATGATAATTGTGTATGGCCCCAAGTGATGTTATACATATCCACATGGCCCTTGGCAGGAAAAGGCCCCCCCACCCCCTGCTCTAAGGGATGGAAGGTGTTCTGTGCAGATATGATAGGACCTCAGTACAATACACAGATAGATCCACAGGTGCAATACACAGACCCACAGGTACAGTACATAGATCCACAGCACAATACACAGACCCACAGGTGCAGTGCACAGTGTTTCACACATTTTGCCTCCACAGCACAGAGTAGATTATAATGTTATTCAAGGTCAATCGGGTCATGCCTAGCAAAGAGCAGATGTAAAAATAAAGACAAGTTTGGTTTGAATGGTCTCTTAAAGGATAAAAAGATTCCCTAACGGTCTTTGAACACGCCACTCTGTGTTTGAGCAACACGGTCCTTTGGGAATGGTACGGAGAGTAGCATAGCATAGATGCCCCAGCGACGTCCACAGGCAGGTCTGCGGCCTGAGTGGACCCTGAATCAAAAGCGCCACCTCTGAGAGCCGGCCAGCTCCAGCTCCAGCCGCCGGGCGGGATGTGAGACCTCCTAGATTCAGTGGCTGATTTGGCCCCAAATAAATCACTGAAATAATTGGAATCAGAAATAGCTTTTGCACACTGTTCTTCCTTCACCTGCCAAACGCGTCCCTCCGGTGAACAGTCCCCCCCCTCCCCCTCCCCCCACACACACACGGCTCCCAGCTCCTGTGGTGTGAGAGCGAATTGCGAGGGGTTCTAACATGTATCCGCGAGCCATGGACTTTTCATGGCTATGGAAGACTGTTATAAATTGGCCTGTTAACATGTAACCTGCAATCTACAAGCTAATTTGGGGAAACGGCAGGTGACGGGGTCCTCTTTCACGGGGGATAAGTCGGACATACGCTGTTACTGTGAAAAGCAGCCCGCTGGTCCTGGGAGTGAGGACCTGTGGATGCTGGGTAAGCATCGCAGGAAGCCTGGCGTTGGACGAGGGAGCAGCTGAGGTGGGAGCGGGTGGGTGCCTGCAAGGGGCAGGTTGGGATATTGAGCCGCGCTCAGCTCCCCTCATTAAAAGGGACTTAAGGGTAGAGCCCTGACTGTGAGGGGAGGCAGCCTGGCCGGCGAAGGAGGAGGCTTCCGCTAACAAGCCTGGCCTGGGCTCACACAGAAAATCCGCACAATTCACTCCCTTTGCTGCTTCGACGGGGACTGCTCTCTGGCGAGAAGGCCCTGGTGGGTTAGTTGGGGGCACCCCTTTCAAGGGAGCTGCAGCGCGGGGGCCAGATGGCGAAATAAAGACTGGCTGAGGTCAGTGGACACGGCCCCGCGGCAGCTGCGGTGGTGGCCATCACCCGGGAAGAAACGTGCTGTTCCCTCCCGGTACATGCTGTGCTCACGGGTGTGCCGCCCTGAATGCGCCTGAATAAATGCAAAATGCCAAGACCAGCGTGGAGTGTAGCCAGGCTCCTCACACAGCCTCGGGAGGTGGCCCTGTCACACCGGGGCCTCGGACGCCCTGCCCCAGGGCTGTGAGACAGCGTGCTCTGTGGCCGGGCCACCCAATGTGCACCTTGTCCCCGCGGCCCCAGCAGACGAATGCCCGTGCCAGCCCACCAGAGCTGGTTCCTTCATGCCGACGCCAGCCTCAGGCTATCAGCCTCTCATCTGGGCTGAGACTTGTCCGCGTTGGGGAGATACCCGCAGGGCAGGCTGGCTTCCTCTCCCCTGGGGCAGGTGAGGATTTCTGAGGCTCCATGGGGATGTCACTCTGCAGGTCTGGCTGCTTCCGTTGCCTCCGGCCTGGGAAGCTGCTTTGAGGATCCAGGCTGAGCTGTTTACCAGGCCAGGCGTGTGCCTGCGTATGTGTGTGTGTGTATGTGTGTGTATGTGTGTGTGCGCATGTGTATATATGTGTGTGCGTGTGTGTATATATGTGTGTGCGTGTGTGCATGCGTGCGTGCGCGCGCGCGTGTGTATATGTGTGTGTGTGTGTGTGTGTGTGACTGTGTGGGCGTGCGTGTGTGTATATGTGTGTGTGCGGTGTGTCGTGTGCGCGCGTTAGTGTATATGTGTGTGTGTGCGTGTGTGCATGCGTGTGTGTGTGTGTGTGTGTATACATTTGTGTGTGCGTGTGTGTGTGTTTGGGGGCGGGGGGAGGGAGTATTGCCCCCGGTGTTGCTGGGTGGCCCGCACGGAGGTTGCTGGTGTGGGAACAGGTGAGCAGAGCCGGGGGCCCCGGCTGGAACACCACTGCTTCCGGCGTTTTGAAGAAAACGGTCATTTTCCTTCCCTCAAGTTCTGGTCTCAGGTTGGCTCATCTGAGTACGGTTTCATTTTCCAACTAGAGAATAGGAAAGTTGGGTGGGATCTGATTTGATGATGGAACTACACTTACCTTTTAGAGACTAGATTCATAGTGCATTAGGACAAATTAAAGTTAACGTTAATATTACACCCCCTACTGATAATGTCCCGCACGACCGTGTTTGTGTCACGGTGCTAACGGAGTCATTGTAGAGTGTCAGCTGTTCGACACTCTGACCACTGAGCCAAATCAGCCAGGGCACAAAGCTTCTTTTTTCTTTCTCTCTCTCTCTCTCTCTCTCTCTCTTTCTTCCTTCCTTTCTTTCTCTCTTTCTTTCTTTCTTTTTTTCTTTTTTTCTTTCTCTCTTTCTTTCTCTCAGAGGCTCCTTGCACTATCCTAATTATTTTTGGATTCTTTTTCCTTTTTTTGCTGTTCTGATTGGGTGTTTGTTGCTTTCTTATATTCCAAATTGCTGATTTGATTATTGGCTTCATCAACTATCCTGTTGACTCCCTGAAATTATTCTTCATTTCAGTTAGTATATCCTTCATTTGTTTGTTGTTTTGTTAATCTTCACAGGAGGATATTTTTCCATTGATTTTTAGAAAGTGGAAGGCCGGGCGAGAGACAGAGAGAAACATTGACGTGAGAGACACATCCACTGAGCCAAACCGGCTAGGGCTCACTCTACTTTTCAATGCTTTTCTACATCGATGACATTAACTTTAAATGTGCTAATTAGTTTATGCATTGAACTAAGGAATGTTCACATTCCGATAAATTGTGTTAAGTGGCGGCACCTACTGGCGATGGATGATATTGCAACCTAATGTCAGAAACAAATTCTTAGGATTTTAGCATGGGAAGAAGCTGTTCCGTCAAGTTTTCAAACTGCAGAAGGCATGTTCCCGGGGACATGCGGTATGTCTGGAGTGCGAGAAGTCACAGAACACGCATGGCGCATTTCCTGACGTCACAATTGCACTTAATATCCATGTATGGAAACAAACATATATTTGCAAAATTGGCCTGAATTTTTGATCTGTGATGCACATCTTCCCAAAGTGTCTATGTTCCAACCCACTCACTCCTGTCTCGCCTTCGGCGGCTGGTCCGGAGGAAACGCGCAGGAACACTGTGGGGAGGAGAAGGCGATGGCCAGGCTCTGGGTCGAGGCTGCAAGACAAGCCCAGGAAGACAGGGTTCCAGACGCTAGTTCTTCATTTTCCCTCTGAACTCACTGAGGATCCTCGTTTGTATAATATGACCCGGTCAGAAGTAGAAGGAATATTCATTCGGGGAATCACAGACATGTGGTCAGGGAGGTGAAATATGTCAGACGGAGAAAGACAAATATGTGTGATCTCACTTACATGTGGAATCTGATGAACAACACAGACTCGTAGGCACAGACGGGTGGCTGCCATAGGGTGGGGGTGGTGAGAGGTGGAGGGATTGAGCAGCACAGGCTGGCAGTCACAGCATAGTCACTGGGATGTGAAGTACAGCACAGGGAGTATAGTTATAATCTATACCAGTGGTTGGCAAACGGGCCCCTTGAGTGTGGCTCTTCCACAAAATACCACGTGTGGGCGCCCACATACAGTGCGATTGAAACTTCGTGGCCCATGCCACGGGGCCAAAGAGCCGCATGTGGCTCGCGAGCCTCGGTTTGCCGACCACTGATCTATACTAATAAAAGGGTAATATGCTCATTAGAGTGGGATACCTTCCAGGAGACCTTCTGGATGTCCTTCTGGACGAAGCTATGGTGGCGGGGCCGAGGCAGAGGCGGTTAGGGGCGATCAGGCCAGGAGGGAGGGCAATTGGGGTTGAGCAGGCCAGCAGTGGGGGGCAGCTGGGGATGATCAGACCAGCAGGGGGATAGTTGGGGGCAAACAGGCCGGCAGGGGGGACAGTTGGGGGTGAGCAGGCCAACAGGCAGAGTGGTTAGGAGTGATCAAGCAGGCAGGCAGGTGAGTGGGTAGGAGCCAGTGGTCCCAGATTGTGACAGGGATGT